TTATTACATTTTTGTTATAAATATTTATTTTGCATCATTTAGTTCAATGTTGATTCAGTTTAGTTCAATAACTGTCAGTGTTGCAAAGTTTGTGAGGGAACTTCAGGGCATCCATGAGTTAATAAAAAGGAAATAACTAATTCAAAAAATGTGAAATAAAATAAATTTCGATAATTTTGAAATACAAATAAAACAAAACACTTACTAAAATAGTATTAAATAAATTGTGCATGTTGAATGTCATGTGAGCATGAACATTCGATCTCCATATGTTGTGAAATGATTGAAATATTAAGTTAAATAGACAGTGCACAGTAATATGGCTGTCGTGTGTCAGGCCTGCTCTGGGCGGCCTGCTGTCGTCCTCGTACCGGCAGCATCAGGAGTCTCTGGCGGCGGAGAGAGAGAGACGGCGTGTGGAGCGAGAGGAGCGACTGCAGCGCATCGAGAGAGAGGAGCGCAACCGACACAGGTTCAGCATTACAGCCTCTCGCCTCACTTACACACAGAGTTACCATGTGCAGATCACCTGATCTGATCCTCCTGTGTGTGTGTGTGTGTGTGTGTGTGTGTGTGTGTGTGTGTGCAGTCGGGACTATGTGTCGAACATGGAGGAGGCCAGACACGCTCGAGAGGAGAGGTGAGTTTATTCACTGACTAGTTGACCAGTGATATTTAGTCAGTAATTTCATGGAGAATTGAGGGTCAAACCCTAGAAACTGCTCAAAACACCCTAACAACCACCCATATATTGGTATGTGTGTATATATATATATATACATATATATATGTGTGTGTGTGTGTGTGTGTGTGTGTGTATAGATAGTGTATTTGTATTAGTGTATTTGTGTGTGTGTCCTTTTATATTCTTTGTAATGCATTATATACATACATAAACATATATATATATATATCAGATTATTATATATATATAGATATATATTATATATATTTTTATTTTTTATTTTGGTCCTTAAATTCACATGGAGATGCCAAAAAAAACCTAAACCAACCGCCTGCTGACTGCATATATCTACAGTACACGGATCCATTCAGAATAACTAAACACAGCAACATACACATGACAAATCAAAACATTATCGTGAATGTGTGGAAATGTGTGTGCCTGTGCATAAATACAATGTGCGATCAGTGCGTCAAGAGCACTCATACACGTATTATTATAACGGACTCACGCGTGCTTACTGTACGACTCCTGTACGTCCTCGCAATCATCTTTATCTTGATTGCAGTCTTCATCCATCAAAACTTTACTAGCGAGACCAGTTATCCAGTCGAGAAACCGTAGTTTGCGTCTCATCTGGCCATACAGCGGTGGGATGTTGACAATCTGTTCAGTCTGTACTTCACACAGCGTGACGTGTGAGGGCTCGCGCTCTTTAGAGTCAATCACAGAATATGACAGAGCTCGTGTTTAAAAGCCAAACACACTGGAATGAATAATTCACTGAAAACGCAACGCGAGTCTCTGTTCTCTCTGCAATCTCTGATGCAGTCAGCCTGGTGTCCTTTATTAGCGCTGTTTTGGACGGATTGTTTGAATGCATTCGCTTGCTGGATCATTGGACTGAAATCTTTCCCGGAGTTTAGCTGCTTAAAATGATCTAATCGCAAGCAGAGAAGCAAAATTGGGTTAAAGGGTTAGAATAGAAATTGTGCTTCAGTAATTTTGCATTAATTGCGTTATATTATTTTAACACGTAGATATAGATATATTTGTGTGAGTATGTGTGTGTGTGCGCGCATTTTTGTGACAAATGAGGACATAAATGTGTATAATGACAAAGGTATGACAGGTATTACAAGGAGAAGGTGACTTTTCAGGACATTACCCCATGTCCCCACTTTTCAAAACGCTTATAAATCACACAGAATGGAGTGTATTGAAAATCTGAAATAGCAGAAAGTCTCCTGTAAGGGGTAGGTTTAGGGGTAGGGTTGGTGTAGGGCAATAGAATATACGGTCTGTACAGTATAAAAACCATTACGCCTATGGAGAGTCCCCACTTTTCACAAATGTAAACCTGTGTGTGTGTGTGTGCGTGTGTGTGTGTGTGTGTGTGTGTGTGTGTGTGTGTGATTTCCCTCCTCAACCTTTTTTTAACCCACTTTTCCTCAAATCCAAACACATTTTTCCTCCTCCTCTCGCCTCCAAACATTCCCGTCCCGTTTGACTGAAAACACGCTGCATGAGAATGCAGCCTTCAGAACGAACGAGAGCCTCGGCTGAGAAAAGAGGAGGAAGCAGACCAGACGAGACTCAGTGTGTTTGATGAATGTGTGTGTCAGGTTTCGGACGGCCGAGCGACTGGCGGCAGAGGAGTTCGAGCGAGAGCGAATGCGTTCAGCGGCTCGAGGTCTCAGCCTCACTCTGAGTCCGACAGACACCTGTCAATCATCCCGCAGTGCCACGCCCTCCTCTGTGACATCACAGGACGAGCAGGACACGCCCATCACGTCGTACCCGCCCTCTGAACCAGGTAAATCCACCTGACAGACGCTCAATATAATCACTGAAGGCAAGCGATCATGTAATATTATTTCAGAGAGAAAAATGTGCAGTAAACACACAAATAGTAACCGGTGACCCATCCGTCTAGTTTTAATCA